ACTTCCTTGCTTTCTGGTCCAAGGTGAGCCAGACTCAACTTTTGCTTTGTCTGTCCCATTGGTGGAAAGAGCCATTTCTCCAATGATTCTTAGTTCCTTTTAGTGGAGAATGATATTTAGAAGCCAAGATCTGGGCACCATATTTGCTCTTCATTATTGGTGAACAGAGCCAGGGGAAATACAAAAATACATATATACCGAATCACAACTATGTATATACATACCATATATACACATATATGTGGTATGTGTATAAATGTACACATATATTATATATGTATATAATATATATATAAAATACTGGGGCTGCCAAAAATTCACACTTTTTTTTTTTTTTAGTTGGAGTCTCACTCTGTCACCCAGGCTAGAGTACAGTGGCACATTCATGGCCAATGCAGCCTCAGCCTGCTGAGCTCAGGCGATCCTTCGGCCTTAGCAGCTGCAGTGGCCAGGTCGCAGCTGCAGTGGCCAGGAGTGGCCACTGCACTCCAGTCTGGGTGACAGAGTGAGACTCCAACTCAAAAAAACAAACAAACAAAAAACAAAAACAACAACAACAAATAAAAGCAATACAAAATTTAAAAACAATACAGTTTAACTATTAGCATTTATATTGCATTAGGTATTATAAATAATTTAGAAATTATTTAAAGTAGGCTGGGCTCGGTGACTCAACCTGTAATCCCAGCACTCTGGGAGGCTGAGGTGAGTGGATTGCCTGAGCCCGTGGGTTTGAGACCAGCCTGGACAACTTGGCAAGACCACATCTGCAAGTAGTTGAAACCACAGGTATTTCCAAGTAGTTGAAACCACAGGCATTTGCCACCATGCCCAGCTTATTTTTAATTAATTGTAGAGACCAGTTCGTACCAAGTTGCCTAGGCTGGTCTCGAACACCTGGGCTCAGGCAGTCTTCTCGCCTCAGCCTCCCAAAGTGCTGGGATTGCAAGCATGAGCCACCACACCTGGCTACACACATTTTAAGAGATGTTATCTATGTATTTTCAAGCGTGTCTGAATGCTAATGATAACCACTTTGAGTACCCTTTGTATTTGGAAAAGTCAAAAGTGAATTGTATTTATCTTTTGTTATTGGTATATATTGAGTATTACAAGTTTAATACACTTTTTTCCTTTCTTAAAATGTGTATACATTTTTTTTGGCACCCTGAGTATATATACATAGACTGGACATGGTGGCTCATGCCTGTAATCCCAGCACTTTGGGAGGTTGAGGTAAGAGGATTGCTTGAGACCAGGAGTTCTAGATCAGCCTGGGCAACATAGCATGACCTCATCTCTACAAAAAAATAAAAAAATAAGCCTGGCATGGTGCTGTGTACCTACAGTCCCAGTTACCTGGGAGACTAAGGCAGAAGGATCATCTGAGCCCAAGAGGTAGAGACTGTGGTGACCCGTGAGCATGCCACTGTACTCCAGCCTGAGCAACAGAGTGAGACTTTGACTAAAAAAATAAAATAAAATAGCCGGGCTCAGTGGCTCAGCCTGTAATCCCGCTTTGGGAGGCCGAGGTGAGTGGACTGCCTGAGCCCGCGGGTTCGAGACCCATCTAGGCAAATTGGCGAGACCTCATCTCTACAATAAATCAAAAAAATTAGCCAGGCATGGTAGCACGCACCTGTAGTTCCAGCTACTTGGAAGGCTGAGGCGGAAGGATCATCGGAGCTCAGCAGGTCGCAGCTGCAGTGGCCGGGAGTGGCCACTGCACTCCAGTCTGGGCGACAGAGTGAGACTCCAACTCAAAAAAACAAACAAACAAAAAACAACAACAACAACAACAAATAAAATAAAAACAATACAGTTTAACTATTAGCATTTATATTGCATTAGGTATTATAAATAATTTAGAGATTATTTAAAGTAGGCTGGGCTCGGTGACTCAACCTGTAATCCCAGCACTCTGGGAGGCTGAGGCGAGTGGATTGCCTGAGCCCGTGTGTTTGAGACCAGCCTGGACAACTTGGCAAGACCACATCTCCACAATAAATCAAAAATGAGCCGGGCATGGTAGTGCACGCCTGTAGTTCCGGCTACTTGGAAGGCTGAGGCAGAAGCATCATTGGAGCCCAGCAGGTCGACGCTGGGGTGGCTGTGAGTGTGCCATTGCACCCTAGCCTGGGCGACAAAGTGAGAATCTAACTCAATAAAATAAAATAAAATATATAGGAGGATGTGTGTAGGTTATATGCATAGGCATTTTGCACATTTTATGTAAGAGACTTGAACATCTGCAGATGTTTCTGTGGGGGTTCCTGAAACCAGTCCCCTGGGAATATTGAGGGATGCCTATATATTTTAAGCCATGGGTTTATGTTGATAGTTCTAATTGTAATCCAACATGACAGAGTTCATTTCTGTCTTTTCATATTCCTAACTCTCTAACAGTGAGAAACCAGATTCTCATCATCCTTGATATACTTCCTTATTCGATGGCCCTCTTTGAACATAGGCAGCCTCCAGGCACTACTGTCCTGCCCTCTGCATGTAAACCCTTCTGTATGCAAATTCACTGAGGATCCAACACCCTGCGTCTGGCTGATGCTGTCTCCATGAACACCCTCTTCTCCTTCCCCGTGCTCTGTTACCTCTCTCTGGGCCTCTGACACCCCAACCTCACCAAACATAGATTCCTATCTCACTCAACTTGACCTCTAGAACTGAATTGTTCCAGGAAGGGAAAAGAAAGGAAGCAAAGGGGGAAAGAGTCCATCATTTTTCTTTCTTTCTTTTTTTTTTTTGAGTTGTTGTGTCACTCTGCCTCCCAGGCTGGAGTGCTGTGGCATACTCATGGCTACCGTAACTTCTACCTGCTGGGCTCAGGCGATCTTGCCTCAACCTTGTAAGTAGCTGGGACTACAGATGTGCACCACCACATCCAACTAATTTTTTGATTTATCGTAGAGACAAGGTCTCACCTATTTCAGCCCAGGCTGGCTTCAAACCATGGGCTCGTGTAATCCTCTTGCCTTCACCTCCCAAAGTGCTGGGATTACAGGCGTGAACCACCGTGCCTGGCAATAATTTCTTTAACAAGCCTTTTTAAGCCATCCTTTGATTACAAACAAGCAAATAATTGTGTCTATACAAGATTAGTATATGTTTAAGAAACTCCTGGAAGTGAACTTGCTGGGTCAGAGTACCTGCATTTGCAATGTTGTTGGCTCTGCTGCATTATTCTCCATCAAAGTGTGACAATTTTCACATCCACTGGCAACATATGATGGTGCCAGAAAGAACTTAAAAGAATGACGATTCCAATACATAGAAAACCTAAACGCTACATAATGACATTTGCGAAAATAAGACAACTTATATTCTCTTTTAGGAATACATTTATTGTTTCACAAATCAAGTTTCCTACTATTTAGCATCTTGGTAACAAAAATGAAACAAAACTTATATTACAAGTTTAGAGACACAAAATAATAACCAAACAGAAGGGGTTTAAAAAGTAATTATAAGAATCCTCAAGCTGGGCATGGTGGTGTGTGTGTGCAATCCCAGCTACTCCAGAGGCTAAGATGGTAAGATCGCTTCAACCAAGAGTTCAGGCCTAGCCTGGGCAACATAGCAAGACTCCATTTCAAAAACAAACAAAAAGTTTATGAAGAAGCCTCCGAAACATAAATTAGGACCCTAAGCTAAATAAGATGTGGTACAGTAACTCTTCAAATTACAAAGGCAGAAATGATTACCCTAAAACCAGGATGACACAAAACAGCCCATATACTTGTTAGTCAGATACTTGTCAGAAAATTATTTTTCAGGTTATGAACTTAAATTATTTTTGCTGTCCAGCAATGTATCAGGACATTTGCTAGAGTCCCTTATAATTGCCTTGGGCATGTCAGAAACAGGATGGGAGTCTGAAGTTGAGCAGTTTGGCCAGGATGTCCCAGGTTTTAGCACTGAATCCACTGCATCCCAGGCACCCCTTCAGTTTCGAGCAAACCTGCACGTTGACCACCCTAGGACCCCCTGCATCTGGGACAGTCCCAACTGGCCAGACGTGGTTACTTGCATTAAAATTAAGTCAATTATTTATTTAGAGACAGAGTTACTCTGTTATTCAGGCTGGAGTGCAGTGGTGCCATTAAAGTTCAATGCAGCCTCCAACTCCTGGGATCAAGTGAGCCTCCTGAGTACTGGAACTACAGACGCAGACCACCACGCCTGGATGATGTATTTATTTATCGCAGAGATGAGGTCTCACCAACTTGCCCAGGCTGGTCTCGAACCCCCGGACTCAGGCGTCCCTAATGCCTCGGGCTCCCAAAGTGCTGGGATGACAAGCGTGAGCCACCTCTCCCGGCCTGCTTCAGGACATCTTGGTGCGCATGTGCAGCAGGTGGAATGGCTTTCTTGGGGGTCCTGCTCCCCCAGCCCCGT